AGGGAAAGGGGAGAAATGCACGACCTTCACTTCCAAGTCCTTTTGTCTTAAGCAACTTCAGCAAAACTACCACCAATGCAATAGCAGGTGAGCTGAGATTGTGTCAGCTGGGTTCCAGGGGAGAAGAACAGGCCTCCGGGATCAGACTGCCTGGGGCCAGTGTGGGTTCCGCCACTTTTGTGCACATGTGAGGTTGTGGCTATTACTACCTCTCTGAGCCTCAGCTTTTTCATCTATCAAGTGGGCTACTTATACCCGCTCTGTCCTTCCCTGGGGCGTACAGAGGGTTAAAAAGTAGGGATAAGGAATGTGAGGTGGCTGAGCGGCACCAGGTCTCAAGCCAATAACACTGTTCAGGCTGTTGTTCTTGTCCCTGAGAGGGTCTCCCCAAAGCCTGGCCTAACTCACAGGCTTGGGCACACTGAGTCGCAGCCCAGGAGGGATCCCAAACCCAGCAACACCTGTGTGCTGCACCCTGATGCTTGCCAATGCCCCGACCCCGAACACAAGACATTTCTCTCTGCCAGGTCTTGAGGGATCTGAAATGCTTTTAAAGGGAAAAGCTCAATTCAAACCATGCCTGGAGCAATCGACATTGTTGGCCAGCCATAAACAGTCCAGAGACCCCTGGGCAGACTGCCACTGAGCAGGTAAAGGGACAAGGAAATAGAGAGAAGGGGGCTCCCAGTCACTAAGCACGTGCTGGGCACCTTCCTGCTCCCTCCCGTTCATCCTCCAGCTGGCCCTGTGCTGGGGATTATTTCACCATGTGTGAGCAGAAGACTCGTAGAGGAGAAGTGAGCAGGTGGGAACCCAGCTCCTCAGTGCCTCCCAGGTTGTTTGTGTGTGTGTATATTGCCCTCCCTGCCCCCATGACTGCTGCTCCCACTCCCCGCTGCCAAAAGCACTGTTGATTCCCCCATGAAGCCCGGGTAAGCATCTAGTTACCCTCAGTGGCATTTCCAGCCAATGGACAAATCACTGCCACTGAAGACACCCAAGGCGATGAAGCCTCCACATCAAAATCCCAACACACAGCCCTATCCCAGGCCACTGGGCCATATGTCTCTCTCCAAACGCCCCAGGATTCCTTGCTCCTTGCCAGGGCCCTGTGGCCTGAGGCCAGTGTCTCTCAGATTGGACACAGTTGTGAGAAGACTCAGCCAGACTGGGGAAAAGTCTCCTGACCCCAGGGCCACCTTCCTTGGTGAGACCACTCAGTGGCGGGGAGGGAAGGCTTGGCTTCCCACCGGAAGCTGGTCTGGCCCCTTTGCCTCTGATCCTCTGAGGACGACAGAGGCCCTGACTTGGCACGGACAAGGGTCTGTAGGCACAGGGCGGCGCTGTATCTCAGCCACCCCCTGCCCAGCCCTTCAGATCTCATCTTGGCAGTGCTTGTGCAAAACAGCGGGGTGGAAGGGTGGCAAAAGCAGAAGGTGGGAGCCCAGGACACTGGGATCCTGGTTTTCTAAGTGGATCCAGGCTTCATTCCCTTTTGGAACATTACTAAGCACCAGGAGGAGGCAAGAGGTGGCAAGGAGGCCTCCCTTCCTCTCTCGCCTCACCTCTTCATGTTTCAGTACTGGCCCCAGGGCTTCTGGGAAGTAACACAGCAACTCGGGCCCCTACCCTGCCCTAGAAACACAGGACACAGAGTTCCGGCCACAGGTGCTCTTCTAAAGAGCCACCCTCAGTTGGCCCAGAGCTGCCGACATTCTCCTCTCAATGGTCCCTTGATGATCCTATTTGGCACAAGTTGCACCAGCCAACTCAGGAGCAAGAACAGGAGTCTGGCTGACACCGCTCATGCTGATGTATAAGCTGCAAAAACCACCTCTCCCAGAACAGGGAAGAGGCACGAATGCAAGGCCCACCGTGGGCAAAACAGTGCGCTAAAAGCAGCTGATCTCACTTGAAGCTGAGCACTTCCCCTAAGCACTTTGGCTACAGCCTTTTCCAGAGCGAGCCTGCCCAAGGCCCTGAACGCCCCGTGGACTCCCCCCACCATGAGCAATCTATGCAAAGAGCTCCCAGCACTTTATGCCCATTATCTCTATGATTCTTCCACCCACTGCTTTTCAGGAAGAACCACAGAAGCGAGTCCATGGGATTCAAATCAGTGGGGAGGATACAGGACTATAGGACGGTCCACTGTGCTGCCAGTCACCAGCATTTTATGGAAATCCTATGAAATATCACAGGCAGCGAGGAGGAGGGAAAGGAAGCCCTCAGGGCTAAAACACAACTTGAAGTGGGTTGGGGAGGGTCGGCCAGCCCTTCAAGCCTAAAAGGGCACCCTGGACTGGCCATGGAGGTAGAGGGAACAGCCATGATTCCCCCACGGAGGCCAGGGACAGATGGCTTCACATGAGACCAGAGTCCAGGAATAACACTTCCCATCTATAATAAACACTTGACATGTTTCCAAAGCCCTCCCATCCATCTGGGGAAGGTGTTTGCGTGCCTAGCTGTCAGGTGGAAATACTGAGGGCAGGCTGCCAGCCTATGGGGGCTGTGGCCCAGAACTAGGTGCTGTGTTCTGCCAGGGGTTCCCTTCCCACGACCCGGGGGCCTCTCCAAGGCCTGCCTCTGCCTCTGTGAGCTGGGAGGGACACACCGCCGTTTTTCTGGGACTCTGAGGCACTGGCCTTCCTCCTGGAGAAGAGCTAGTGGCACCCCAGCAGGGGAGCCCGACACAGGGTGGGGCCTCCCCCCTCTCTGGCACTGTACCGTCACCCCACAGGCAGCCAGGTCTGATCTGCTTTCACAGGGAAGCCATCCCCTCCCACAGGTCACCGCAGTGATTAATGGGGGTCATCACGCAGCCAGGGCCGGCCGCGATCACCCCGAGCCACCCTCAGGGCCTCTGCACTCGGCAGGTGTGTCTCAAAGAGGCGGCTTATGTGACAGACACTCCCCTCCGCTCAGAGTCACTGGCTGGGCAGAACCTGCCATCCCGCAACTCTGTCAGAGAGGTAACTGAAGTCCTTCTGCCATGGGCCCCTCCTGGCTGCGGTCACAGCTGCTGGCATCCATCAGGAGGGGTAGCTGCTCTTGGCTCTGAGAAGCCCATAGAAATCGTGTGTCCCCTGTGGGGGACACAATGAGAAGGTAGCCAAGTGACGTTGGCCCTCTGAAAGTTGCTCCTTTCCCAAGTAACTTTGAAACATATGTTGTTAGCAGGGGTGTCCAACCTTTTGGCGTCTCTGGGCCTCACTGGAAGAAGAGTTGTCTTGGGCCACACGTTTAATACATTGTGACACATAATCACAAAAAGGTATCATAATGCTTTAAGTAAATTTATGATTTTGTGTTGGGCCACATTCACAGCCATCCTGGGCCGCATGCAGCCTGTGGGCCACAGGCTGGACTCCCCTGCAAAAGGCTGGAGTGTTCACTGACACCTGGTCCAGCCACAGGAGGTGCTCAGAGCCTCCTCTTACCAGGGCTGGGGACCGTGCGGGGAGAAAAGAAGAGAGCAGGGGCCTCACTCATCCAGCCTGCCCTGTGGTGGGCCCGTATGTAGGTTAAGAGACCTGGAGCAACTCGCCGCACCCTCTGTGCCTCCGTTTCCTCAACCACACAGGGATGCTGGCCAGCTCCAGCTCTAAAATATCATTTTATCCTTGCCTCAGTGTTCCTCCCCAAAAGGCCTCTGTCCTGAGGAAAAGAAGGACAAGGTGAACTCAGGAAAAGTTCACCTCCAAGGGCAACAGCTCCGATGTCATCATTTCTCCTGGGGACAGGAGGTGGGGAGAGGGCAAGGATAAGGTGATAAACCATGAGGGTGACACTGAGAGACGGTGGCCTTGCCAACCTGGCCCTCCTGCCTCCTCTCCAGGCGTGGGTTGTTAAAGGAGAAAGAAAGTCCATCTCCTTGTCCCCCGTCGTTCCCCCAGTGGCCTGGGAACTTGCACGTGGCTTCCTTCAAGGCTGGTCAGGAGACGGAAGCCTGGGCCTGGGCTGACTATCTCCCTGAACCAAAGGATATCGGCCCCCTCTGCTCAGATGAGCATTTTTCCGGAGCAGTTTTGTCTTGTCCCCAGAAAACTATGATCCCTACTGTGTTCACACCCATGACACCCTCCAGGATGCAGCTCTGTCCATTCTCAGGGATGAAGAAAGGGGGCAAGGGGTTGGGGAGTCCACTCCAGACTGGGCGAGGGGTCTAGAGAGCAAGGTTGGCCCCTGGCCCTCCGGAGAGCATCGGGCCAAGGCCGTGCCTGGGAGGCCCGCTCTGTGGGACCTGCTAAGTGATCTTGGTGAAGCCCCAGCATCCTCAGACCTGTTTGCCCAGCTCCGCCACACAAATCCAAACTTTCTCTCTGTGGGCAAAGGTGAGGATGTAGGCAAGAAGCCTTCTGTGAAAGCGTAGGAGAAAAGGTGGCATCTTTCCCCCCTGCGGCCCAGCCCACCCAGCAGAGAATGCGACCCCGGCCAGCAGCAGCGCGGCAGTGACGCTGTCATAACTCATCCCCCGGCGGAGTAGACTGCAGAGGCTGAGCGCACCCCTCCCAGCCCAGCCCACAGAGTGGGCGGCACAGCCCGGGGGAATCCCTGGGTGGGGTGGTCCAAGGAGGCAACTCCCAGCTGGTTGGCAGGCAGGCGGCGGGGACCCCAGGCAAGCCTCCCGCCCACCGTCCTCTCTCACCGCCTAGTGAAGACGGCCTGACGGAGACGCGGCCCTCCCTAGTCGCCTGCTCAGTCCACCCTCTCCTGGGTCCAAGGCCGGGCCATAGCCAGCGTGGCAAAGGAGTGTGGCGCAGCCTCCCCTACCCCCACCGCTCCCACTCCGAGGTCCCTGAAAGCACAGAGCATGCAGCCCTGCCCCACCCCCTCCCCGGTCGAGGACCCGGATTCTGCGCTCCTTCTCCGGCCAGATCAGTCCTGGCTCACGCCACCCGCGTGCTCACCACTTCTGCGTCCTCCGCGCCACGGCCCCAGCCCCAGGCTAGGTGCTCACGCCGCTAAGATGCGATGACAGACCACACGCTCCCTACCTGGGAGGAGACTGCCAACCGGTCCTCGTCGCCGGCTGGGTGATGCCAGCCCCACCTGCCAAGGGACTGTCAGCAAATTCCCCCCTGCATCATCGCGGGAGCGGCATCCCGGCTCCTCCCAGGCAGGAGCCAACCTTGGCCCCGCCCCAAAGCTGCTCCGACCCCGCCGCCGCCGCCGCCGGGGAACCCGGGCGGGACTATCTTATACAGAGGCCCAGGCTCCGCCCCAGAGACCTTGGCCAGGAACCATCTGCAAATTACCACCGCAAACGCACAAGGCTGCCGGTCCCTGAAGCTCCCGGCCTCGCCTGCTGCCTTCCTCCTCTCTGCCTGCCCTACAGTTCTCACGCCACCCCAAGCTGTCCACGGAATCGCGTTCCTTACAAACCTGCCTGACCCTGCCAGCCAAAGCATAAAAACAAAACAAAACATCAAAAACACACAAAGGTAACAGCACTCTGCCCCACCCAGGGACCTGTTCCTTGCACTGGCCCAGTGGCTGGTACCTAGTTCTGCCTCCTTCCTCCCCAGCAAAAGAAAGGCCCACAAGTTGGCCACAGCCCCACTCAGGAAGTCCAACGGAGTGGGCTGGGTCACTTTCAGTTTGCTGTGGGGCACAGTCCTGCAGGTCTTCAGTTTCATCCAAGTCTTGGCTACTCTGCTAGAAAGGACTCGTTTGGAGGTGGGTGCCGGTGTTTGAACCCCCACAGATCAGAATGAAGAGTAAGGGGCAGTGGTAACAGCCATTCTCACTGTCTCCCAGGCAGGGGCCTGGGCACATTCGTTTAATAGTCATTATCCAGTCCTTGCTGTACAAAAGCTAGTGGGAGAGCAGGACTGCTACACAGAACGGTGAAAGTGACTCGTAGTTTAATAACAGGAAGAAATTGTCAGAGTTGTTAGCAGTATAATAAGGAGGTGATAGAGGAAGCAGTGTGAATACAAGGTCAAGAGAGGCGGGTGGGGGGGCAGGTCAAAGGGTAGCTATGGCTTCACGGGGTGGTTCCCCATAGCCAGCTGAACACCACCTCCAGGTGGGCACCCCCGCTTATGTCTCTCCCTGCAGTGCACCTGCCTCCCACCCCTGACCCCCACCCTCTGGTTCTTCTGATCCAGCCACTCTATGAAAACCCAAAGTGAGCTGCTTGACACATTCTGTCAAGATTTGTTCATTTCTTCTCTTACGCGCCCATTCGTTAGTTTACATATCCTTTCCTGGGGCGGGAAGACTTTTGAATGTCTATTGTGTAGGGGCAAGAGGGCATCGGGGGCCTGGGTTATAGCTCTGGCTCCGCTGTTAGCAGTATGCTGCGCAAGCTTGGGTAACTGGCTGGGTCTCTCTGTTTTCCCTCTCAACTGTAATACAGAAAGCACTGGGCGAGATGGGGTCTAAGGCCCCTCTGGCCCTGACATTTCTATTACTCTCTTCTAGGATAAGGCCCGGTGGGAACAAAAATAAGCCAGGTAAATATGAGAGTAGTGTTTAAGAACTCCAGCTGCCTTGATTCGAATCACAGCGGGGCCACCTAAACACGGGACTTGACCTCTTTGAGCTTCATTCTTTGCATATGTAAAATGGGGGCAATAATAACAACAGTTGTAAAGGCTGGTTGTGAGGATGAAATGAGATATTGAATACAAAGCAGATGCTCTGTAAATACTAGCTGTTGTTGCTGCTGCTGTTACGGTACTGAGGGGAGAGAACAGCAGCGGGACAGAGTAGTTTCTCCTCTCTCAGCTCCCTCATCATAGAAGTAGTAGCTGAACCCAGTGAGGAAGGACCGAAGGTTCTGTGCATGGGGTGGAGGGTAATTGCTGGTCCTTTAGAAAGGCCCGGGGTTAAATGGAAAGAGCATGGTCTTTGGGTCCAGCTGAACCTCAGTTTAAATCAGGGCTCCGCCTCTTACTAGCTGTGTGACCTTGTACTATTTACTAGTTAACCACTGAGATTAATTTTCACATCTGGAAAATGGGTATCATTTGCAAATGAGAGGAGTCCAATAATAGTACCTACCTCACAGAGTGGCTGTGACTAAGGAGACTAAATTCTAGCCAATGGGATGTGAGTAGAAGGGATCTGTTTTACTTCTGGACCACATTCTTAAAAAGTAGCTGCACACTGTCCACGTCCCTTTGTGCAAACTGTGGACATGGGGAGGGAGGTGAGGGGCAGTTCTGATGGCACTGGAAAGGGCAACACGCCAGGGTCGGCCAATCAACAAGACGTTAAGAACCCAAGTTTCATGCTGACCTGGAGGAGAAGCACCCTGGACTGCTGACCACCGTGCTTTCTATGACCACAGCTGAACTAACAACCTCACTGATAAACCTGGTTTTCTGTTCTTCGAGCCCACAGGAGATGAGTAGGGGCTCACTGGGAGGAGAAAGAACATTAAAAAAGCAAGAGCAATGAAATCAGCAAAAGTCAAGAGCAACAGACAATAGAAAAGCTACAAAAACTCAGAAGTTTGGGACCATTTGGTTCAGAGTCACTCTAAGAGGCTTTGGGGACATCAGTGTATTACAGGGTAATGTTGAAAATATGCTAATGACAACAATTCCAAATCACTATGAGAAATATAATCTTCTGATTGAAATTTTATTTTAAAAGGATAGCAATTATATGATATATTTAGAAAATATTTTTGATCAAAAATGGTTAACATAAAATAAAACATATGCCTCAAAGTGGATAAAAGACTTCAACAGAAGTCATGACACCATAAAAGTCCTAGAGGAAAACATAAGCAGGAAAATTTCAGATATCCCACTTAGCAATATTTTTGCCACTATATCTCCTAGGGCAAGGGAAATAAAGGAAAAGATAAACAAATGGGACTACATCAAACTAAAAAGCTTCTGCACAGCTAAAGAAACCACCATCAAAATGAAAAGGGAACAGACCGCATGAGAGAGCATAGTTGTCCATGATACATTGGACAAAGGTTTGATCTCCAAAAAATATAAAGCACTCACAAGACTCAACACCGTAAAGACAAACAATCCAATTAAAAAATGGACAAAGGACCTGAATAGACGCTTCTCAAAGGAGGACATACAGACATATCAAAGGCCCATAGACACATGAAAGGATGCTCAGCATCACTAGCCATCAGAGAGATGCAAACTAAAACCACAATGAAATACCACCTCACACCTGTCAGAACGGCCATTATTAATAAGTCAACAAACAACATGTGCTGGCGAGGATGTGGAGAAAGGGGAACCTTAGTGCACTGTTGGTGCAAATGCAGACTGGTGCAGCCACTGTGGAAAACAATCTGGAATTTCCTCAAAAACTAAAAATGGAACTGCCTTTTGACTCAGTGATTCTGCTGCTGGGAATATACCCTAAGAATCCCAAATCACCAATTCAAAAGAACCTATGCACCTCTATGTTCATAGCGGCGCTATTTACAATAGCCAAGCGCTGGAAACAGCCTAAGTGTCTATCAGTAAGCACGTGGATCAAAAAACTGGTACATTTTCACAATGGAATACTACGCAGCAGAAAGAATGAAGAAACTCCTACCTTTTGCAACAGTGTGGATGGAACTGGAGAATATTATGCTAAGTGAAATAAGCCAATTGGTGAAAGACAAATACCATATGATTTCATCTATAAGAGGAACCTAAAGAAAAAAATAAACTAATAGAACCACAGGCATGAAAACATGGAGCAGACTGAAAGTGACCAGAGAGGGGGGCAGGATAATGGTGGAAAGAAGGGGAAGGGACTAGACAAAGAACATATATGAATGACCCACAGATATGGACAACTGTATGGGAATAGCCTGTGGGAGCGGGAGATGGGATGGGTGGAGGAGAGAAAGGGGGGAAAAGTTAGGACAACTATAAAAGAATAACAATAAAAAATGATTAAAAATAAAATAAAATGAATGCCTAACGGTAAAAACCTTTAGCATCCCCCAAAACTCAGCCATCCAGAATGATACCTTTACCCAAAGGCCAGAAAGCAGAGATTTTGATTCATTGTTATTTACCTTCTCCTCCACTAGATTATAAATCCTGTTAAATTCAGATCGTACCTTCTTTTTCTTTTTATTCCTCGTATCCAGCACAGTGCCCCAACTCCATAGGCATTTTTTAATGGTTATAGGAGTGAAGTCTGTGTAACCTTGGATGCCAGAGCTTAGCAGGGGCCCACTAGCTGATCTGAAATATTGATCAGTGAAATTGCCTGAGGTCCTAGATCATTCCAGTGAAGGGCCACAGAGGTATGGCCCTAGATGCCATGAGAGTGACGAGCCCACTGTGGCCCTGGGACCTCACCCTTGTCGTCTAGAAATCATTTCATCAGGAACTCTCCCGTGGGTTCAGAAAGACCTACGTGCACAAGGATATTCACTGCAGAACTGATTGCAATTGCTTAAAATAAACACGCTGCATGCAATCTCTACAACCGTACATGACCTTCCTGCTCTGCCCAGATGCGATGTTCAGGAAAACTCAAGATGGGAGGGGAAAGGTGGGAAGCTCAGGAAAGAGTCAGCTAGGTGTCTGTTTCTCATCAGTCCAACTCCAAGGATTTTAGGCTTTGAGCCAGGACAGTTACACCAGTGTCCCATGCTGCTGGGTGGGGAGTAAGTGGGGCGGGGTAGGGGTCCCGGGAGGATGGGCGTGGGACTCAGCAGAGTTTGCTGTAGCGTTCAGAATGCAAACTTATGCCCCTGACAGGAACAGTATTTTAAAAGCAGAACCACATCACTGTTCACACACTAAGGGACAATCCAGATACTCTAGGCTGTCCCCTGCCCTCAAGAACCCAGTCGAGACTCTCCAAGGAAATGGGTCCATTTAGGGACTTGGGCTTCCGTCACACACTCTAATCTGTCTTTCCAAAAGGAAGGGAGCTTGATTTCCTGTACAGGAGGTAGGGGAGCAATGTATCAGAATGGGAAACTATTTTTCCAGTCTCCTCTGTTTAACCAGACCTTGGGCGGTGGGTTTCAATAGAGGACAGACCTCACGCTGAGGTCCAGAACACAACAGATTCCTCGCTGGCATCCCCCCGCCCCTTAACCGGGTCAGTGGGGTGGGGATGGAGAAGTCAGGGTCCTCCCTGGCAGAGAGTCTGGGCCTCCCCTCCGCTGGCCCAGCCCTGGCCTCCCTG